TCTTGGGGAGGAGTGGGAGGACTTTGACAGAGAGAATCAGAGAAAAAGTAGGCTTTTATTACTGTGGATATGGCTAAAGTGTGTTGTGTTCTTCAGAAAATAAGGCAAGCAAAAATTGTATTTACAGTGTGCTGGCTGTTCTCTGTTGACTCTCCAAGTCCATACTCATTGTTTGTGCAGCATGAGTTAGCCCTTTTTAACTGGGGAATTTTATACTGTATATAAAATACTACTGTGTAATATACTGTAAATCCATGCTCTAGCTTGTGTCACAATAATTCGACTAATGACACTATGAGACACTTCAGGAGGAACATATTATGTGTATTACAAGAGAAGCAATGGACAGAGCCTCAGCAAAAAAGAGACAATAAATTTTTATTGTAGCACATGAGTATGGGCTGATTACATCTCAGTTGAAGCAAATATTCCCCAATAATAGTTGTTTTCTTTTTCTTCTCAAAAACAAAACAAAACACAACAAAAAACAGGTAAAACCATCCAGTTTTAAAAATCCATTTTGATGTTGCTAAGTTTTATAGCTCTATATCAAAGACAAAACATAAATCAAACTTTCACTTTAGTTCAAAATGTATCCCAGTTTTATGTATAAAAATTAATGACTTAACATTCTAAATCCAAATGACTCATTTTATTTCTTTATTTTTTCTTGAAGAAAATCTATCACGTGTTGACAGCAGAAAAAGCCAGGATCTGACTTCTCTGAACATTCTAGAGAGGCTTCCTTGTATTTAACCCAGAATAATGCATAAAAGATTACTTTGTTGGCCATTTTGGTAAAGTAAAACAGTGATTATGCTCAAGATATAAAAAGGCTAAATCAGATATAAACGGGCTAAAAAAGGTACATGGGCACATCTTTTTTTTTCATTATTTTTGTATTTTTTGTTTTTTTATTATTATTTTTTTCCATTAGACACAGAGGAAGACGACTGTAGATGAGAGGCTATCAGGCTGGGAGTGCTGGTATTTACCACACAATGCAAATACAACCACATATGTAAAAGGTAACATACAGGTAACCTTGTATAATCTCACTGAATCATTGGCACATTGGTGAATAAATGAAAACAATTGCCTGACATATTACAGTATCATCCATCACTACAGTATCTGAATACTATTTCTCTGTCACAGGCTTCACACACATACAACAAACAAACAAACAAACAAAGAAACAAAAACCATAACATGCTGAAACTGGAATGGGCAGTTGATCTCAAGTGCTTTACAGCAGTTCAGACAGGCTGAACCAGCCAAAAAAAAAAAAATAATTAATTAAACTTGAAGCCCATAGTACAAATGTGGTACAAGGCACCTTTATATAGCCCCTGAAGTGAAATTCACATTTTAACTGCTCAACAGAGGTATCAGGAGGCTTTTTTTTTGTTTCTTTTCTTTCTTTTTTTTTTTTTTTCCACTTTTACTATTCCATAATATTGTTGATTTGTTAAAATTTATTCTGTATATTGGAATCAGATAACTTTCATCCTGTATACAGTGTAAAACTTCAAAATATGAACTTGACTGAATAGCAGGCTAACATTAACAATTTGATGAATGTCATATTGACTAGAGGAGTACAGAAATAAAGACAGACAAAGTTAAAGCAACACTTTCTGATTTTCTGTGAGGATGATGGTGAGCAAGATGGCCTCCACTGAAATGGAAAATGCTTTCCTAGAGACAGCTATTTCCAGCTGTAATAATCTATGAATGTTTTCTTGGACATATAGTATTCATTCATAATTGCATGGTTAAAAGATTGTGTGTAATTCTAACCATTTCAAGAGGAGTAATTTCCAATGGGTGACACCTGTCTAGAAATGCTAGCGGGATTTAATAACACAGTACAAAACAGCTTAGATTATGAGAGGAAAAATAAATAAATAAATAAATAAATAAATAAATAAATAAATAAATAAATAAGATCCTGACCTGTTTAACTGACCTGTTTAACAGACTGAAGATTGAGGGAGGATGTCCATCCAGAGTTTGACTGACCTGTACTGCAATGAGATCTCTACTGTAAATTATACAAGGCTGAAATTAGCTGGAGGTAGAAAGAAAAGTTTCAGAACAGTCTTTCTATAAAAACAACAGGGACAGGAAATCTTACAAAAAAAAGCTTTTAAACTTTTATAATCTTATAAAAAACTTATAAACCAGTTTTAAGACAAGATCTACTCCCTGTGAAGAGGGATTGTATGTGGGGGTTGCTTGCTCAAATTCTTGTTATGGCCTAAAGGTTACACACAAAGTATACAGAGCCAAGACTTTTTCTAGATAAAGTCTTTCAATCAAAACACACTGAATAGTTATTATCTCTCCAACTACAGTACCAGTAACATTTACAGTCCAAATTACTAAGGAAATAAATCATTATTAATAGTGTTAAAAGTGTGATATGCGGAAACCCTTTGTAGTCTCTGCCCATTTTCCTTAGTGTTATGCTCACCCTTTCAGGTGGCAGTGTGGGTTGTCCGAGTCCTGAGCTATTCTCTAACAGTAGTTCAACTGCCAGTGTTGGGGTCCCTTCCTTCTTGGTACTAGGCTCTGCTACTGGCTGTATATTTACATTTTTTCTTAACAATCTGCTTCTTATCCTTGGTTCTTATCCTTACAGTTTGAAAGTGGGACACTAGCTTTGCCAGGCTCAGCATGAAAGTTTAGTATATGTTATGCAACAACTGCTGAGGTTTCTCAGACTTTTAAGATACATATAGCATTCACAGAGCTAAGTAAAGGTAAATAATGAGTTTTTCTTAGACAGTTGTTACCACAACAATAACAAGGTCAAGCCTGTGCAGGCCAAGGTTGGGCAAAACAAATCCTGAGGCCCAACTGTACTGGGTCAATACAAATGCTAGCGTTTTACTACTAGAGGTAAAACCATATAACTTGCAATAGCAGGGACTGAATTCCCTGCCTGGAACAAATGTCACCACAATAAAAACAAGGTATATAATTTTAGTTTGCTGTTTTCAGCATTCAGCAGGTAAGAAAGTCCACAGTCTTAACTCAGGAAAAATCTCAAATATATATATATATATATATATATAGATATTATATATATGAATATATTAGATATATATTATATATATTATATAATATAAAAATAATATATTTGTATATATATATCCAAATATATTATATATATCTATTTATATATACATATATATATATATATATTATATATATATATATATATATATATTATCTATATATATTATATATATATCACAGAGAGATAAAATTAAGAAGCACATTAAACAGGTTTGCATCCAAGGTTTTGATCTCTTTGAAGGGATCAGCTGCCTGCATAACAAGAATTTCTACACAGTACTATCAAAGGTCCATCTAATGACTTCCTCTCTTCAGCAATGGTTGACACTTTCATGTTTTCTATAACCGCTTCCTGTTTTTTTTTTTTTTTTTCCTTAGTCCATATAGATTCAGTCTATATTTTAAAAGCACTGTAGTCTTTTCTCTCAGAAGAAAGTTGAGGAAAATTCTTTATTTTGTCTGTAGCAAAAGAATTAAAACATGATAAAATAAAAGAGCTGACAGACATTTGTCTAGATTCTAGATTACACAACAAAGGGCAGTCTTATAGGGTGTATAAGATCATGCTAGGAATCATCACTAAAGAAATATGTCAGAAATCTTGCTGTGTTCCATTTTCAGATCAATCCACACTTCAGAATAACACGTGACACAGTCAACATCTGAGAAGCATTTCAAAGCAGATTTCTAAGACTGATCTAAAGAAGATCAGTTTTAGTTGATTAGGTGGAGTTTGATGTCATTTGGGTAAGGACATTTTCTTTTATTTGGATGTGATTAAGTTACTAAGTCTGAATCAACAAAAACAAAAATTAGAAATATTTTATGAATAGGTTCTCATTTACAAGTAGAATTTTTGATATCTTCTTATGTCCCATTTTTGAGGCATTCATTGTCAACAAAGAATAAAAGTCCAACAGTTTTGATCTCAGACTCAGATGCTTCATAATAATTTCATCAGGAAATAGTTAGTAGTGGAAGCATTTCTGCTAATGTGTGTAGGAGGTTTATTAATATTTTTGAATTTACAGGACAACATAATGAACAAATACAACATTTTCAGAATACGTAATCAGCCCCAGAATGAATAGTTGCCTAGTGAGTCAGACCTCAAAAGCATACTGTACCACAGTGCTAGGTAAACTAAAGAACACCAGAAGATGAATAAACATAGCAAATTTGTTACATTTTTCAAATGCTGAAAAGTGCATAAATGAAAAGTAAAAACATTCTTATTTCTGTGAGGAGAAAATCTCCCTCCCCCACCTCTGCCATCAACAAAACAGCAAAATGTGATTAAGAATAACAAATGTGGTCCATTTCAATACATAAGAAATAAAAGCTGCCTGTCAATCTTTTTGATAACATCATATTGGAAAGGGGAGGAACTGGAGGATATTTGTCATACAGGATCTTCTAAGCCACTGCTTAAGAAGATAGTGGCTAAGAGAAAAACAGTAAGTAAGTAAAGACTGGGATAAAAACTGCTCAGAAGATAGACAAAAATTGTCATTGCTGGGAAAAAAAAAAAAAGTAAAACATGTATTTACTAGAAATACTTTTAATTAGTGAAGTACTTATATCCAAAAATACTGTGGTCACCTAACATTTTTGGAATCTAGTGGTTTACTAAACCTTTCTGATTAGTAAATGGCAATATTTTTAAATTAACATGTGTTTTTTTTTTTTCAAAGTTGTTATTTTGTACATAAGAAGTGACTTGCAGACATACACAAAAGCAAACCATCAAAAAACCAAAAACAAGCAAACAAACTAACAAACAAATTATTCCTAAAAAAGGGAAATGTATTTTTCTGATTTTAATTGAATAGTCTGTGTGAATAAATTTTATGGCATATAGATTAAATCCAAAGCTGATGGCTAAAGGAAGGTAAACTGTCAGACTTTCTTACCTGCTGTGGAAAAAACATTTTTTTTTTTCCTTGCAAGGTAGGGCTGACCTATAGTAAGGAATGGTAATAATAAGTTTATATAATTGAAAAATGAAAATGAATTCATTTTGATAACTGGCAATACTTTTGAAAGTGTTAAAATTATGTAAAACACTCTACTCAGTTCCAATAAGGAAAAAGATTCGTCTCACTTTTTTTTTTTTTCCTATTGCATACATTTAGTTCATAGCTCAAATCATAACACGTATGTCAGTGACCTGAGCTACCGTTTCTCCATGTGTTTACTTCACTCCATTCATTCCTTGAATAAAACAATTACCAGTTACTTTAAAAAGAAGCCAGTCAAACATGTTTTCTGTTATAGAAGAAAAGGTTGGTAAAAGAGAAGAAGAAGGAAACTTACTGAATCTCTGGGATGCCAAAATTCTGCAAAGTAAGACGAAAAAGATGTTGATTGAAATTCAACAGTAACATATTGGTGGTGAGATTTCTGCAGCAATAAAGAGATGAAACACAGAGGGAGCAAAGAAACCACACAGAGGTCCCTAGATAAAGGTAATTTGCAGGGAGAGGCCGTTCAATGGGGATCCAGGGTAACAATGAAGTGTCACAGTTGCTTTGATGCCTTAAAAAGTGAGGAGCTTAGCATTGAATACTATGCTAGTAGTAAGAGTACTAACATTTATACATGCATATAATTATATATGCACATATAAAGATAATTTGTTTAAAAAAGATTCATTCCCTTCCACTTCCCCTTTCCCTTCCCCTTCCCCTTCCCCATTCCTCTATCTTAACTAAAAGTAGAGCATGTGTTTGGGACATCTGTTGCTCATTCTAAACAAAGATAAGGTTGCCAAAGATTTTTTATTCTAAGTATTATTTTTCTTTAACGGTAGATATGTATTTTGCTAATTATGTACTAGATTATGGATTTTTTTTTTTTTTTAATCATCATTTACTTATTTATTTATTTATTTTACGGTGGGATGGAAGCAACAGTAAAACCTCTTCAGGGAAAAAAAAATTCCAAAATCCAAATTCTTATTTTCTCTCTAGTGCCAGCCCCTTTCAGAGTATTAAAAATAAATAAAATAAACAATAAAATAAAATAAAATAGCAGTTTTCTTAGAGTTTCACAGAGTTCTTAGTCTACTATGTTGTAGGCTAATGTGCTTTTTATTTTTCACATTAAATGTGACAATAGTTGTTACTGAAAAAAGAACAGTAGAGGCAAATACTAAATATTTATTACTGTGTCCAAATGTAATATCTTTCATTTTTAATAAGTGAAAGTATATAGAAAACTGAAATTTCATGAAATAATGGGCCTTTAAGAGGAACAGTACTTCAGACATGAAGATGAAAACACATTTTGAGCTGGCTATACTCAGCTGACTTGACTATCATCAGTTTGTGCGTGTGAATTAGGTAGTACTTGCAGCTGTCACCAAATTAGCTGTGTGCTGAAAACAAAAGAAAATTCTGGTTTTGCAGGAATCAGCATGCAGGATCTCTAAGGCACAGTAGGCAATAGTGGTTGAGTTTAATTCCATGAGAAGTAAATACAAGTTTAATAAATTGCTATTGGCATCAAACACCTCACCCTGGTAGAATTTTTGATATCCATGAAAGTTCAGTCAGGCAATAGAGTGCCATATGAGGAAATTTCCACAAAGTCTCACAAGTTCTGCTATTCAATCTCCTGGGTTTTACTTTTGATTTTTAAATGGGCAAAACCAGGATTCATGCCACATGTTCAGCTCTAATGTGTCCAAGAACCTTCAGATTTTCACATGTGCAGTAATTATAGTCTAAGATCATTACTCTTATTGAAGAAGGACCTAAGTACATTAACATTGACGTGGAAGATTCATGTCATGCTGCTATGTGCTTACACTCTTTTCTCACAGTTTGTTCTTATTTGACACATTTTGCCTTTTATCGGTTGACATTGTAATCATTGTGCATCTTAGCCACAGTCAGGGTGAAGCTGTGATGGGTTTATGTGGCAAGGTTTTGGTAGATGGGGGCCATAGGGGTAGCTTCTGTGAGAAGAATCCAGAAGCTGCCCCATGTTAGATAAGGGCCCTGCCACTGGCAGATCCAGGCCCTGCTGGTGGAGCAGGCTGTCCCCTTCGAGCCCATGGGTCCCACATGGAGCAGATCTCCACGCTACAGCCCATGGAGGAGCCCCCAGTGGAGCAGGTGGATGTGGCCTGCAGGAGGCTGCTGCCCATGGAGAGCCCCTGCAGGAGCAGGCCCCGGGCCGGAGCTGCAGCCCGTGGAGAGGAGCCCCCGCAGGAGCAGGGGGTCTGGGGGAGCTGCCGCCCGTGGGAACCCCAGGTTGGAGCAGTTTCCTCCTGATGGATGGACCCCGTGGTACGGAGCCATGTTGGAGCAGTTTTTGAAGAGCTGCTGCCTGTGGGAAGCCACTACAGGATCAGTTGGGGAAGGACGGCATCTTGTGGGAGGGACCCCACGGGGAGCAGGGGCAGAGAGTGACCGTGAAGGAGCGGTGGAGATGACGCATTAGGGAATGACCACAGCCCCCATTCCCTGTTCCCCTGGGAACATGGGGGAGGAGGTGGAAGAGGGTGGATGGGAAGGAGACATTTTTGACTTCTTTCCTTTGTTTCTCACTTCTCTAGCTTGCTAGTAATAGGCAATAAATCTTACTATCTCCCTACTCTGAGTCTGTTTTGCCTGTCCCAATAGTTGTTGAGTGAACTCCCAGTCCTTATCTCTTGAGCCCTTTGCGTCATATTTTCTCCCCCTTCCCCTTGAGGAGGGGGAGTGCCCGCTTGGCTGCCTACCCAAGTAAAACCACCACAGCAGCAAATACTGGCTACTTCCTCAGGGAAGGGGAGCCAGGAACACAAGGTGACCCCAGTGGGGCTCTGGCTGGCAGTGCCCTCACTGACTGGCATCATCTGTCAGGGCCTGACCACAGTGGACAGTGCTGGATGCTGTAACAGGATCCATCAACAGCCCCAGGCATGGCAACCAATGTACCAGGGCCAGGGTCTCCAGCAGCACGAGATGGTGACAGAGATAGGGCTGGGGACATGGCTGCAGCCTGGGTCCAAGGTCCAGGTCCAGGGGTTGAGCCCAGGCTCCTACAGGGACCAGGCTGAGCAGAGATGAGCTCCTGTGTCCATACGTAGTAGTGGGGAAGGCCTCAGGGGAGGCTGGGCAGGGACAGTAAGACCTGATATTGCACTCAGAGCCCTTACAATGATCCTCAAAACAATGGCCTCACCTATTTTATTTATTTTTCATTTATTTATTTATTTATTAAACACTGCTTATGTGATTTCCCACTAACACAGCTTCAGGGTGGGGGAAGTTTGCCATACATATCCCAAAACTAGGCAGAACTTGCTAAGAAGGGGTCATACACATAGATCGGCTACTGATAGGGATAGCAATTGCAGTTATAATTACATTCCTCCATCCTTCCTCCCTCTGATTTTGCCTGGATTTTTTTTTTTTTTTTGAGTGTGAGGAAATCAGGTAGATGTGAAAAGAATATTATTTTCAGTTTTTCAGGGTAAATGCACCATCATCATTCACAATCAAGGTCAGCAGATTGTGGCAGAAAGTGTCTGTGATTATATAAAATAAATGAGAGATGAAGTGAGCATGAACAACAACAGCCTTTGCTTCAAGACAGTATGGAATCTTACAGTCAAATAATTTTGTTTTATGAATTTAAACCTTTTTGTTTAAGGAGAATACAACAGGCTGAGCTACACAGAGAAATGTAGTGACATGGGAGTGTAATTTAAGCTATGAATATTCTGCTGTAGAAGCAGATAAAGCTAAACTGTAAAAAAAAAAAAAAAAAAAAGATATTTGTCCTTGAGAGATCATGTTCACACTGAGAATTGTATTGCAAAGCTAATATTGCTGATTGGATATTGCTGATGCTATTGTTTAGGCTATAGCTGAAGTAACTACATTAGTGACTGTCTTCATGTAAAAAAGCACTTCATGCAGCACAGTTTTGGAAGGAAATTAAGCAGAATGAAAACAAAAGTAAGCCAATATATAGTAGAAGTAAACTTACAATGATATGGGTTATTTGTTGCATGGAGATCTCCTATGTGCAGATCTGAGGTTGTTTTGCCAAGCAAACAGGACGACACATCATGGCACCTGGCAAAGCACTGAAAAAAAAGTATGTTAGCTCAGAACAATATTGTTCCGAGTCTTGGTCACCTTGGACTGTGGGCAAGATGAAGGGCAAGTTCATAATCATAAGTCTGTGTGGACATATATACTCAGTTGAGTTGCATAAGTATTACTTTGGTATCAGTGAACTCAAGGGCACAGAAAGGGGTGGAAACACCCACAAATATTTAAGGAAATGTCTCCCATGCTCCTATTTAAAGGTGTGATTTTATTCTTCACTTGTATTTTTCCCAGTATGTCAAAGAACATGCAAAGGTGATAAATTTATAGTCTACTTGCCAGCATATTTCCTCTTTTTTTTTTTTTTTTTGAGTTTAGCAGCTCTGTGAGGTCTACATAATATTCAGTATTTACACTCATGGATAAACCCAGGAAAATTATGAAAATTACCACGGATGTATGTGGCATGGAAGTTACAAGGAGGGAGAAGTCTTTCCTGATTGTTGTTGTTCTTGTTGGTTTGTTTGTTTGTTTTTCTCTTCCTACTTCTCCATATATATTCTGGTACACAGGTTTCAGCTTGCAGGATTCCTCACTGCTGCTACACACACTACTGGAAAATGAATATACACTTACATCTTCAAAATGGCATCTAGGCTAATGGTCATACAATTGAAATAATTGTGATATTAACTATATTCAAGGGAAAATTTTGATTTAGTAAAACATCAAACTATCTATAAAGCAAAAACAGAACACTGGCAGCTGAAAAGGAGAGGAAGCATTATATTTATCCAAAAATATTATGTCAAAACTAAACATCTGAGATGAACTTTCAAGCACTGCACCATTACATAAAACTACAGACTGCTTTAAAAATGATTCTTTATACATACACATATATTTGGGGAGAGTGGGGAGAGAAGGAATGAGCAAGAATATACAAAACTAAGCTAAAGATTTATTATTATTATTATTTTTATCATTTGAGTTAAACAGTAGAGAACTTTGTAGGGTAATATTGGTATAAATCAGCAGTAATCGATGGAATTACTTTGGCATAAAATTGCTGCAAAATCAGAATGAAGCGCAAGGTGTTTATGGACCATTAATTTTTAAGAAAACAAATATCTCCTCTTTAAGTGTGAAATGTTTACCTGAAAGCTGTCTGAGATTTTGCCAACTATTTGATTCAACTTATTTAACATGCACTTTTTAAAAAGCTAGACCTACAGGATTCAAGCAGCTCTGGCATCTTCTGCATAAGCGAGCTGTGCTGACTCTGTGGGGGAGGCAGGCTGATATTGATGCAGCTCAGGAAGGACTGATCCTTTCAGAAATGTCAGTGCTTCAGAGCTCCCACCTTCCCCACCACA